TGCAGCAGCTCCAGGTAAAATATGTACCCAATGTCTTTCAGGAACCCTTTGCAGGCACTTTGTAAATCCTTCATGCACCCCTCCACCCCCAGTCTTCTCCCCCAGGCCAGGGCAGCACCAAGAGGTAGGATTTTGCCTGGGAGTGCTGGATGGGGGGATTGAGGGCTGAGCATCACTGTCTCTTCCCCAGGCAGTGCGCAGCTACATGAGGACAGAGTGCAAGTGCCATGGGCTGTCGGGATCCTGCACCCTGCGGACCTGCTGGCGGAAGATGCCCCATTTCCGTGAGGTGGGGGATCGCCTGCTCGAGCGCTTCAATGGGGCTTTCAAGGTGATGGGAGGCAATGATGGGAAAACCCTTATTCCTGTGGGTGACAACATCAAGCCTCCTGACAAGCAGGACCTCATCTACTCGGCTGACTCACCTGATTTCTGCTCGGCTAACCGTAAGACAGGCTCACTGGGCACTCGGGGCCGTGTCTGCAACAGCACAGCCATGGACACGAGTGGGTGTGACCTGCTGTGCTGCGGGCGAGGGCACCGGGACGAGACAGTGGTGTTGGAGGAGAACTGCCTTTGCCGCTTCCACTGGTGCTGTGTGGTGCAGTGCCGCAAGTGCTCCGTCCGTCAGGAGCTCAGCCTCTGCATCTGACAGCCTGCGATCAGGCGAGAACAGTTTGGGGAGCCACCTCCAAGCTCATGCCGTGGCCCCCTGGGACACTGGCAGAGCTGGTGGCAGGGACAGCGTGGGTGAGCCCAGCTCTGTGCTCTGGGGAGTCCTGGCTTCCCCAGATGACAGCATGGGGCTGCCTGGCATCCCCATGGCCCCTGCAGTGGGGACTGTGGGCATAGAGCTTCCACTAATAAAGCTATTTAAAGCTGGTGTGCCACAGCACTTCCTGGGGAGGGCTGGGAAACTCTGACCACCATACTGGGATGGGACTAGCCAGAGTGCCATCCTGCCTTGGTCATGAGTCCCAATCAGCCAGACTCCCTCCAGCCTCCTGTTTGTTCTGCCCCTGCTGGGACCTGTGGCAAAGCCTGGCTCATTTTTTATCCACTCTCAGCTTTTTTCTGTGGTTGTCAAGCCCAGAGACACATGTGAATGAGAGTGAGCACTCTCCTGCCCTGCTCTGCAGCTTCCAGGCTGGGTGAGTGCTCTCCTCCCATTATCCATGGCCACCGTTGCTTAAGGATGCCAGTTTGTGTCCCACCACCACCTGACCTGTATTGTTTGCAGTGATCTGTAGTCCACAGTCCCTCCACTCATCCCTTATGCTGGAGGAACAGCTAGCTGCCCTGACACTATGGTGATGGGCTCTGAGTTTCTTGAAGGGATTCTCGATTTGTTTCGCTCCAGCCATCATCATTGCAGTCCCCACTGCAGGGTCTGGCACAGCATTCACACCATTGGCTTGGTGGCATGCAAGGCATTTGTTTAGCATGCCGTGGACCACGTGCAGCCTCACCTGGATGGTCTGTTGCCACGCATGTGTCTTGGTAACCTGATCAGCCTGTGCCCCTCATGGACAAACAGAGGGTGAGGAGCAGCCCACCTGGCTGCCCAGCAGGGCAGGCTGTGATCCCTCTGCTCCAGAGACTCCAAGAATCTCTGGGGAGGTTCGTCCCATGCTGCAAGGACCCCACATGAACTGGTTTCTCCAGCCTTATCCAGCATGGGGGTTTAGGTAACTGCAGAGGAGAACGTGTGTTTGCAGCACCTCCTTGGCTGGCAATGCCACACTGGGCAGAGGAGCCCCAGAGGGATGTCATCAGGGCCAGAGCCTGAGCAGGGAGGTCCATGCCCCTGTGCCTGCCCTCCACACCGCACCAGTGATAGGCACAGGGGCTTTACCTGTCCAACCTTTTGCCAGAGGGCTCCAAGCCAAGGTGGGCAATGCCCTGGTACTGCCAGGCAGGGCAAGAGCAGAGCTTGCAGTGCTGGGCATGCTGCAAGGCAAAGGGGCCTGCAGTGGGGAGCTGGTGATGCCCACCAGTGCGTCCTTCCTTGGCCTCCCCAGGAAGACAGCAGGGAAGGGCCAGGGAAGCAGAGTGTGGGTGAGCCATTAACTTGGCCCAGCAAGTGCTGGGGAAGGAGTCTAAATCTGTCAGCTGCAGCTGGAAATTCCCTCCTGACTTGCCCACATTGGTGCTGAGAGAGGGGAGGCACTCTGTGCTCCCGGGAACTCCCAGCCTTGTGCTTGCCCATGGGAACACATGGATGGGTGTGAAGCAGGGCTTGGTAGGTGCAGGTGAAGGTACCTGTGCATGCAAGCAGCTCAGCATGTGTGCCTGCACAGGTAACACGTTTACACTTGTTCATGACCATATGTGTGTGTGAGCTTGTGTATGCACCCATCACTGTATATGTGAGCCCCTTGTGGGTGTGTAAACAAGTTGGCCTGTGTATCTTCCTGCATCTCTATGAATACACAGCAAATTGTCAGTGTGTGTGTATCAGTGACACTGTCGTGGCATGTGCCTGTGTGAGAGTATGTTTGTTTGCACGTCTTACTGTGTTTCCTCAGGTGTGTCTTGGACAGGGAGGACATCCATCTGTGGGTGCAGAAGGATCCTGCAGAAAGGGAGCTGCTGGGAGATGTGGAGAGCCATTTCATAGGCTCAGCAGGTCCCTTTGAATTGGAAGCACTAGAGCACACCTCAAGCCCTGGGCTGCCCATAAGGATAGCTCAGTTCAGGCAGGTGCTGTGAAACTCTGGGTCACCCCTGCTCTCTTCTGGAGCCATTCCAGACTGAGGCTAGCTATAGAGGGATTCTGAAACCCTCTGTTAGAAGTTCAGAGTCCTAGCTCTGACCTTCATCAAGTTCCTTCTCTGGATTCTGTCTCAGTTTCCCCAAAATGGGTGTTTTCATGCTCCTGGCTGCAGGGACACAGGTCTAGAGGTCTGGCCATGGATAAACCCTGGGGGAAATATTTACTACTTTTGAATAAGGAGTCTGACCTGTGTCCTCTGCCATTGGCCCAAATCACAGCTCCTGAAAGATGGAGATCACATAAGCCAAAAATGTGAAGGGGGAAGAAGATGGAAAGTGGATAGATGCACATAGTCACTGATTGTGGGGTGACTCTTCTGCACCCCCAGGAGTCATCTCTGTACTGTATCACTAAGGTGCTTGTGGATGTTCAAACCAACTGGCCCATTTGTCCTGTGCCCTACCCAACTGGGGAAAAGGGCTAGCTCTTATGGGGGCTGACAGCTCCTTACCACAGCTCCCTGCTGTCTCTGAGCTGGCAAAGCCAAGTCCATTCCCTTTGTAGCCATGAGAGGCCCTGGCACAGGCAAGTGATGCCAGTAGTCAGTCAGGGTCTGTACCTGGCCTAGTGGTCTGGAGAAGGCTGAACAGCCAGCAGAGCCCTCTAGCAATATCCCAGCTGTCCAGAGCTCCCCAAGGACTTCCCATCCACTAGGACCCCAACCCCAGATTCCTAAGACACTCCAGCAGTCCCTAAGGGCCCTCACCATTACTCCCCAGGTCCCCCAAAATACCCCAGGAGTTCCCCAGATTCCTAGAGGTCCAGCAGATATCCAGACCCCTCGAAGCCGGCTGAACCCTCTCTGGACCCCGCAGCTCCCAGCCCGGGGGGCTCAGCATCCCCGACGTAGCCGTGGCCGTGGCAACACGGGTCCGGGCGGCCGCCAGGGGGAGCTGCGGCACGGCAGAGAGGGGATGGGGTATCCCGGGAGGTGCCGGGGGAACGTGGGAGCGGGCATGGGGTGGGATGGAGGGGTGCA